GGATTCCTTGTTCCTCCTTTTCCAGCTCTGGATCCAAGGGAATTCCTCACAGCCAAGGGATTCTTCATTCCTGCTCTTCCAGAGGTAGACCCAAGGGAATTCCTCAGAGCCAAAGGATTCCTTGTTCCTCCTTTTCCAGCCCTGGATCCATGGGAATTCTCCACCCCACACCGGGCGTGGTTTGCACTGCCCAGAGCACATCCAGGCGGGAAGGACGAGTTGGAATTCCAAGGAATCCCACAAATCCCAGCAAATAATTCCACCTCCCTCTCTTCCAATGAATCTTCCAGGCCTTGATTGGTTCTTGAAGGAACAAAGTGGAAAATCAAGAGGAAAAAATCCACTCCGACCATTCCGAGGGAACACCCCAGCCAGCCTGGGAATACCAAAGTCAGTTTTTTAGGAAGAGGGAATAGATTTTTCTGGAGAAATTCCAAGATTTGATCCGTGAGAATGGAAAATAAACTGTTCCGAGATTTAACAAAGAGATCCAGGATCCCAATCCGAGCTGGGTTTGAGTGCTGCTGCTCCTGGGAATGCCAAAGTCAGTTTTTTAGGAAGAGAGAATAAATTTGTCTGGAGAATTTCCAAGATTTGATCCATGAGAATGGAAAAGAAATTGCTCCAAGGTCTAATGGAGAGATCCAGGATCCGGATCCAAACCAGGCTCGAGTGCTGCTGCTCCTGGTAATGCCAAATTCAGGATTTTTAGGAAGAGGGAATGGATTTTTCTGGAGAAATTCCAAGATTTGATCCGTGAGAATGGAAAATAAACTGTTCCGAGATTTAACAAAGAGATCCAGGATCCGGCTCCGAGCTGGGTGTTCCGTTCCCTGCACTCTGGGAATTCCTGACTTCCCAAAAATCCATGGAATCCCTGCTAGGCTCCCTGCTCCACCTGCAGCTCCCGGCTCCCAGATTTGCTTCGTGTTAAAAGCAGCAAAAGAATAATTTTAGCATTTCTGCCAAAAAAAATCCAGAGGGAAATCAGGAAATCTTGGAAATGCCAGATTGAAATGGATTGGTGCTCCAAGGAATTGGGAAAATTCTGGGATTGCAAAAGGTGCTGCTCCTCATGCCCACGTGAAATATCAAGGGGTCAAAAGGAGGAATAAACCACAGAAAAATAAGATTTTTAGGGGAAATAAGGACAATAAACCCCAGAAAAAGGAGATTTTTAGGGGAAATAAGCCACATTTAAAGGAGATTCTTTTAGGGGAAATAAACCCCAGAAAAAAAGGAGATTTTTTTAGGGGAAATAAACGACACGGTTTCCTCTCTGGAATTCTGCACGGTTCAATGATTTGGATGGGAAGGGATCTTAAATCCCATCCGGTCCCACCCCTTCCCATGGGCAGGGCCACCTCCCAGTGCCCCAGGCTGCTCCAAGGCCCGTCCAAGCTGGCCTTGGACACTGCCCGGGATGGGGCAGCCACATCTGGGCCAGCTCTTCCCGATTTTCCCGAATTCCCAGGATTTTTAGCCGCACAGGCCTCGACCCCGCCGCCTCCTCCCTCCCGCCGCGTCAACGTTGCCGGGCAACGCCTGAAATGGCGGCGGGCGCGCGGGGCACGCCGGGAGTTGTAGTGCGGAGACCCCACCG